TTTAGCAACAAAGGGAGGAGAGAGCAGATGTAGTAGCTGAGCTGGGGAAAGACGTTATTGAGGGAATTTTTTAAAATGTATTTTTATTGATTTCAGAGAAGAAGGGAGAGGGAGAGATAGAAGCATCAATGATGTGAGAGAATCATTGATCGGCTGCCTCCTACACACCCCCTACTGGGGATCGAGCCCACAACCCACGTAAGTGCCTTTGACCGGAATTAAACCTGAGACCCTTCAGTCTGCAGAACAACACTCTATCCACTGAGCCAAATCAGGTAGGGTGAGGGATTTTTTTTTTTTTAATAAAAGAGATATAATCGCATGTTTAAGTATTGATAGTATTCTGCTTCTAAAAATTTGTCCTAGAGATATACTCCCCACCATGTGAGTCAAGACACAGGTATGAAGACAGTTGCTGTTTGTAGTGGCAAAAGCCTGGAAACAACCTAAATATCCAGCAACAGGACACTGGCAAAATCACTCATAGGATGTTCACACAATAGAATACTACACAGCTACTCAACAGAACAAGGTAGGTGTGCTGATATGGAGATAGCTCTTACATACTAACGGTGGGGGAGCAAGTGGCAGAACAGTGTGTCTAATATGTTCTCATGTATTTGTATGCATTTACATTTGTGTGTATGTCTTAGCTCAAGCTGCCATAACAAAATCCCATGGGATGGTTTAACCAATGGTAATTATTTTTTCATGGTTCTGGAGGCTGGAAATCTGAGCTCAGTATAGTTGGAGAGCTCTTTTCTTGGTTTGCAGACACGTGCCTTCTTACTGTGTCCCTGTATGGCAGAGAGAGAGCTCTCTCAAATCTCTTCTTATAAGGACACTAATCCTATGGGATCAGAACTCCACCCTTATGACCTCATTTAATCTTTTTTATTATTACTGATTTCAGAGAAGAAGGCAGAAGGAGAAAGAGAAATAGAAACTTAAATGATGAGAGAGAATCATTGATTGGCTGCCTCCTGCATGCCCCCCACTAAGGGATGGAGCCTGTACCCTGGCATGTGTCCTGATGGGGAATCGAACTGTGACCTTCTGGTTCATAGGTCAATGCTCAATCACTGAGCCTCCTGGCCAGGCTCATTTAAACTTAATTACTTCCAAAAAGGTCCTAGTTTCAAATACAGATTGGGGATTAGGGTTTTAACATATGAACTTTGGGATGACACAATTCAGTCACCAGCAGTGTATGTGTATAATTTTTGGAAATATATACAAGAATTTGTTTAAATGTTTAATAGAGTGTGATGTGGAAACTAAGGTAAGAAAAAGGTTTATTTTTCATTATGTGCTGTTTGTACAATTTTGTTAACATGTGAATTTATTACTTTGTTCATTTAAAACTAGTTTAAAACAAAATCAAAAGGAAAGATCACAGCACATGGTTAAAGTAAAAAAAACTGACAATAAGAAGTGGTGATCAGGATGTGGAGCAAATAGGACAGTGATGGCGAACCTTTTGAGCTCGGCGTGTCAGCATTTTGAAAAACCCTAACTTAACTCTGGTGCTGTGTCACATATAGAAATTTTTTGCTATTTGCAACCATTGTAAAACAAAGATTTATATATTTTAATATTTAAATGCCATTTAACAAAGAAAAATCAACCAAAAAAATGAGTTCGGGTGTCATAGGTTCGCCATCACTGAAGTAGGAGCTCTCTTGCTCTGCTGGCAGAAATGCAAGATAGTACAGCCACTTTGGACAATAGTTTGGGAATTTCTTATAAGTTCAACATAAACATAATATACCATATCAAACAGCAATTCCTTTCCTAGAAATCTAACCAAGAGAAATGAAATACATTTCTATACAAAGACTTGTTTGTGAACATACATAGCTGATTAGTTTACAATAGTCCAAACTGGAGACAACCTCAATGTCTATCAACAGGTGAATGGGTGAACAAGTTGTATTATATCCATTCAATGGAATACTACTTAGCAAAAAAAAAAAAAAAGGACATGAGCATAGATGAATGGATTTCACAAACATGCCAGACACAGAAGAATAAATGCCATCTGATTCTATTTCTATGACATTCTAGAAAATACTAATATTCTAGAGTGACAGCAAGCAGATCAATAGTTGCTTGGAGTGGGAGGTGCCTGGGGGATTGATTACAGAGGAATAAAGGGAGTACGTTTCCCAAAGTTTATAACCCTGTGCACTTACAAAGGGTACATTTTTACTATATGAAATTATACCTCAATAAAGTTGATTTTAAAAGTCTAAAGAGGGAGAGGTTGAATATACTATAGGAGGAATCACACATAGTCACTTGGGGCACCTGAGCAGTGGAAAGGGTAGGGTGCAGACCCATGTGGATCTGGAAAAAGGAGATGAGCAAAGTGCAATGTAGGTGAATTTTTGTGGGGAGTTCAGGCAGGTCCGGGTTTCAGGCTTCTGTTTTCTATGTGAGGAAAGTAAAGTCTCATCCTGCTGAGGATAAGAATGGAAAAGGTTTGAGGAGAGGAAGGATTTGATGCAGAGGTAGAGAAGAGAAGATCAAGAGAAGAGACAGCAGGAGCTCTATGCCATGTGGAAGTTGGTGATTGTGAAACTATGGTGGCTCCCATCTGTCCTTTGAGTGTCTTTTTTCTTTGCATTTTTCTGGCCTCTGGTATGCAGGCATGATAAAAGCAAGTCACTTGGGTTCATTCAGGCTTTGGTTTTTGTCAGTTGGTTGGAAAGGATCAGAGAGAAGCGAGGTAGAAACGGGGTTTGTTTTTACTATT